GCCATCTTGATTTTTTTGGTTGACAACTGGACAAGTGTAATGCATTGTGGGATACTAACCAGTGGTTAAATCACTTTACCTGTGGTTAGTTAACCAGAGGCTAATTTTATTTTGAGCAACACATATTTGACCAGTGGTTAGTTACCCAGTAGATATTGAATTTAACCAATGGCTAACTTATCCAGTGGACAAATTTAACCAGTGTTTTGAGCAACCCAATCCTGGCTGTGGAGCTTGGTGAGATGCTTTCAAAAGAACTTGACTTACCCTTAGAGGACATCATGTATTACTCTGACAGCAAAGTAGTGCTGGGGTATCTGTCAAATGAGCGCCGACGTTTTTATGTATATGTATGCAACCGTGTCTCCAGGATACGTAAGAGTTCTTCTCCACACCAATGGAATTACGTAACAACAGATGAAAACCCTGCTGATCGAGGAACTCGTGGACTTTTGCCAGAACAACTCAGTGATAGTTCGTGGTTAAAGGGACCAGACTTCCTCAAAGTAAATACAAACAATTTCCAGAATGAGACATTTTCTTTGGTAAACCCAGATCAAGATAGTGAAGTACGGCCAGAGATAGTGACCCTTAAGACTGTATCAGTATCAACCAAGCCAACTTTAGGAACATCACGTTTCAGTCGTTTTGGTAGTTGGTTGAGCCTTGTGAGGGCCATTACCTTCATCAAGAAATGCATCAGGAAGAAAGCAGGGAAAGTGGATGAAATATCTCGTCGAGAAACTGAGATGTTGATCATTAAAGAGGTTCAACAGCAGTATTATCAGAAAGAACTATGCGCATTACATGCAGGAAAACCCCTTCCAAGAGACAGTACAATTCTGACTCTGTCTCCTTACCTTGATGACGGATTGCTGCGAGTCGGTGGACGTATCAAATTGTCAGACTTACCTGAAGGGGAGAAGACACCCATCCTTATACCTGGCAAGAGCCATGTTGCCGACTATTGGTTCATCATCATCATGAGAAAATCTACCACCAAGGGCGTCATCTGACAGAAGGTGCTATACGAAGTGAGGGCCTCTGGATCTCTGGAGGGAAACGCTTGGTGTCATCAATCATTCATCACTGCGTGACCTGCCGCAAGATGCGAGGGAAGCCATTATGTCAGAAAATGGCTGATCTTCCTAAAGTCCGCCTTACAAGGTCAGCACCCTTCACCTTTGTTGGTGTGGATGTTTTTGGCCCGTGGAGTGTCATCACGAGACGAACAAGAGGGGGCAGCGCAGACTCAAAACGTTGGGCGGTGTTGTTTACCTGTTTGTATAGCAGAGCAGTCCACATCGAGGTCATTGAGGAGATGACCTCGTCTTCTTTCATCAACGCCTTAAGAAGGTTTGTTGCAGTTCGTGGTGCGGTCTCTGAATTCAGGTCAGATAGAGGGACAAACTTCGTGGGGGCTGCTGCTGAGCTGCAGATGAATGTAGTGAACGTGGAAGACCACAATCTGAAGACATTTCTTGCGGACAAGAGGATTGTATGGAGGTTTAATCCTCCCCACGCATCCCATTTTGGAGGCACATGGGAAAGGATGATAGGCATTGCCCGTCGCATCCTTGAGGCAATGCTTATGGATACCAAACATGGGAAGCTGACTCATGAGGTTTTGACGACCTTTATGGCAGAGGTCATGGCTATAATGAATTCAAGGCCACTGGTGCCTGTATCTACAGATGTTGAAGCACCATTCGTTCTATCGCCGCAGATTCTACTGACACAGAAAACTCATGAAGTACCAAGTGAATTCCAGGATCTCGATGTCAAGGACATGTACCGAAGTCAATGGAAAATGGTCCAGGTCATGGCTAACACTTTTTGGAAGCGATGGAAAGCCGAGTTCCTCTCCACTATACAACCTCGTCAGAAATGGCAAGATTCAACAGACAATCTTAAAGATGGGGATGTTGTTCTACTTCATGACAAAGAAAGTGCGCGCGGTGACTGGCCAGTTGGTATCATAAACCGTGTATTTCCAAGTGAGTCGGACGGTCTGGTACGCAAAATCGAAGTACGTATCATCAAGGAAGGAAAGCCATACCTCTTCATCAGGCCCGCTACGGAAGTGATTCCTTTGATTACAGTGTAACCATGTAGTACATGAACTTGATTTACATGTATCGTTCTTTGTGTGTACCATGTTTTGACATTTTTGTTTAACATGTATTTTCTACATACAAGTAGTATTTTTTGTGCTATCAGTGTCAATGTAGGGCAGAGTTTGTAAAGAGTGATAAATCAGACGGGGAGTGTAGTGTTACATGAATTTGAGTTGTTTCCCTTAGTTAGCTTTCCGGGTTGAATCCGTTATCTGTTTGATTTTTACACACTATTTCCGTTTGTGTTTTGTGTACGGCATGGCGCCCGCATCAAATCAGCAAGCCTTATGTCATGTTTGGCTGTTTTAGTCCCGCATAGAGTAAGTTTTTCTTGTTCATTATATGTCTTAGTGATTTATTATAAACCTTGTGCAAGTTGAAGATGTATGCATTTGTAGTATGTGTAGAATTTTATGAAACATGATTCGGTACTTTTGTCTAAATTTAGAAACGGTAGCTAATGTCAAGGTTAGGGTGCACATGGTCTTTGTATGTCACGTATTCAGTCGAATAATTCATGTACGACAGATTATCAGTATTGTCAACTCGAATTATCTAGTCAAAACATTAAATCTCATTACATATTAAGTTTAGCTAATTGTTTATTTACAAAATGTCATAAGAATCAAGTTTGTATTAAGAGAGATATTTTTATTGAGACATTTATAGAATGAAACACATAGTGATATGTACTAGTCTGCCTGAGTTGCATGTATTGTACTGTTTACCTGTTTGTCTGTGTAACATTGTACTTATGACTGTGTTGTTTATTTTTTCAGTTTCTTACTACAACATACCTACTACTATTCTGCAATAAATCACATGATGAAAAGCACCTTAGTTATTGATCACTAAAAAGGCTTTACAACTGTGCTCTTCTTATTTTACTTTTTATACCCCTGCTTGAATACCTATGACGTGAGGTGTATAGTTTCTTCTGAATAACAAGGGACACCACTAGTTATTCCTCTTTACATGTTTATACCGTAAAACAATATAGCACAACAGGGACACTGTCTTTATATTCATAAGGGAGACGAGGATATCATTACTGCGCTCATTGCTCAAAGCCAACCTTTTGTAAAGCCAATCATTTCAGGCATGGATCGGAAACAGAAATGCCAAACAAAGGTTCCAGGGCGTCACTAAGAGAAAGTTAAAGAAAACCCACGGGCATTACGGGACCTACTGGATATTCTCTTTTTGCTCAGAAATTTAAAAGTAAGAATCAATGCAGTAATAACGTATCTCTACCAATCCGCGGGTTTCGAGATTGTAACCCTTCTACGATAGAGGCGCAAAAAGTTTCCATTTCGGCATGGAGTGGGACAGGTTGTTTCCGTATACAAACGTGCATTTTCATATTAGCTGCAAAAACATTGTTTTAATTATTTTTTTATTTTATCAATTGTTTTCTCTCCTTATTTTGTAATCTCTTATCTTCTTTCACTCCTTTCCTATACTTAGGTATATACTTAGGTATATTTCATGAGAAGGATCGAACCCGGAATATAAAAAGGAAAGTCCAGAGAATTAAAAATATTTTTTTTTACTTGCATATTGCCACAGAGGGAAGAAAAAGAATTACTGACAAAAGGTTCAGGAAAGAAGTATATGTCCCTTTATATATCTTCCAGCTTTAAAAACATTGCAGTAATACATCATTTTGAATACGAGTCATTTTGAAAATTAAATCAGAAGCTCACGGAAATGCACAAAACAGACAAAGATTTCAGTGAGAATTAAACCATCTGTAGAAAAGAAAATTCAAGAAAACGTAAAGATCAATGATAAAAGTGCGCAAAATCATGGTCATGCCAAGAAATGTTCGCCAGATTCGTTATATATAAAAGAAAAAAAATAAATCAGATGAAAGACCAATATAAGATGCATTGATAAACTTGCAGACTATTGAGTGTGAGGACAAAGTTTTTGTTCATTTTATAAATGAAATTGAATCAAGGAAAGGCAACTTGAGTCAAAGATTTGTGAAATATTTCCAGTCCCATTTTCACTCCCATGTTCACTTCAAAATACAGTATTTTACTCGAGCTTATATGGAAAAATTTATTAAACTGCATCCCGAAAATGGTGTTACATCTAGCCATAGTGAAGGTATTAATTGGTTATTGAAAGGTCTGAACAAATGGAAGGAAGGACCAATAGATGCCGTTGTCTTGTCTTTCCGATTTTTACAACGAGACTATCTTGGGGAAGTAAGAAGAGGCAAAGCCGGTTTAGTGAATTTTACTCATATATCAGAATACCGAACCTCAATTACTAATTTCTCTTGATGAATAAAAACAAAACTCAGATTCTGTCCGTAACTACAAGTCTATCGTAGAATCAATTAAAAACACTGTTTTACAGATGACCGAGAGGAATCTACGGAACATCAAATTTAAAATTATACCAAGTCAAAGGAAATTATCTCAGGTCACAGGATTTCTTTCTTTCCTAAATGGGATATTTTGTAGTAATGGGATCTACTGGACAATTATACACAGTTCAGGTATTCCCCACATGAAAATGTTCTTATACGTGTTCTTATATTAACAACTGCTGCCGCATTATATCTGTGAAATTGTCACTAAGCATGAATGGTGATTTGTCAGAGCCTACAAAATCCGTAAACTTGATAGTTTTACGGAAATATGCCCGCGGAAGAAAGAACCCTGCTTGCAAACTTGCGCCCAGTAGTTGTTGACAATTTTATTGAGACCGTAATAATACCCACCCTCAAAGTGGTGGTCAACATTGGATAATGATCACTACCATGAATGTCAAATTTACACCTTCTTGCATTAAAGGTTATGATAACGCAATGACAATTAAATGTATATGGATTGTAAAAGTTTATACGTAATCTTGACTTAATTTTACAACATTTTAAAGCGGCACTGTGACGCACAAAGGGGAAAATTGACAAATGCAGAATTTCATGACCATTGTTAATTTTGTTCAATTCCTAAAAGTATTAGGTTTCAGAAAATTACAGGTTTCAGAACCTAAAAATTCTATTTTTAAGGAGAAAAATAAAAGTAAAAATATATGCCCCAGACCGAAAATATTGCTCCATACTTCTTCCACCCCCCTGTACGCGTGCGCAGAAAAGTTGAATAAGTTTCCATACTTACCACGGTCTCAAGTACCCAGGAATGAATGTAAGTAGACCAAAAATTTAGAGGCAATTCTTTTTAAAACGCTGTTAGAACATTTTCCCACTTTTGCATGCTCCCGTTGAATGTTGTTTACAAGTTTGAGCTAAAATTAAAAGTGGCGTGACCTTGACAAATACGAAAACAACGAAACGGTAGATACGACCTTTGTTTTTCCGGCACTTATATCGTGCAATTTTTTCTTGCAATTTAATTGTCATATCTTAGCTATATACTCATAATTTTCATAAGTCTTTCTCTGTATGCTACAGATATCTTAAAAGAGAGACATGATTTTGACTCATTGTGTCCTTTTAATAAAAGTCCGTGCAAATTTTATACACGTCAGTTTAATAATGTCACAGTTGTTTTAATTTTTATTGTAGAACTCACGGAGTATTCGTCATGATAGGTTTTATTTTAATTTTTAAATGCACAGAGATGCACGGAAATTATAATTTTTGCAAAAACAATCCGTAATTTGTATTGTTTTCTTTATTTCTGTGAATTCGTGACCTGTCCATGTTTTTGTAAATGGCATCAAAGTGCTAGGCCTTCATTTGAAACCGCAGATGTACAAAGTTTGAGGGAAAGCTGAGCAAGAAATCAGCCAAAAGTTGACTTTAAAATAGCAATTCATTTAACTATACAGAGAATTCTAAATTATTTCCTTTATTTGTGCAAATAGACACAATGGTAAAACCACATTTCCTTTATTTGCGCAAATAGACAATATGGTACAACCACATCTATAGACGAACAAGCTAATTCAGAGCATTTGTGTCCCCCGCTTAGGGAAACAGTAAACCATGCGCAGTTCGGGGGGAAGGGGGCGGATCGTCTTGACTGAATTTGTAGAATTATTAAATGTATACTGAAGCAAATAAAATATGCCAATATGGATATAAAGATTTGATTGCTTATTCTTTATTATGTGTATAGAAGATTCTTTTTATATGGAATATTTATCACACTGTAATGATAATTTTATGAGTTTGTAAAATTCCATTGCAAAAGCTCAAAGGGTTCTCGAGATATCGCACGGAAACGAAAGTGTTATAACAGACAGAATTTGCAAATTTATGACCTTGACCTTTGACCTCAAAATCAATAGGTTTCTTCTTTAGTCCATAGGGAGTTGCTATGCAAAATTTCATTGCGAAAGCTCAAAGGGTTCTCGAGATATCGTGTGGAAACAAAAGCGTTACAGACAGACAGAAACAAATTAATATCCCTCACTTTTCAAGCGGGGGACAAAAAAATCGATGCAATCCTTGCAAATATATGTCAAGCAATTGGCACCAACTAGTTTCAACTGTCCCAGGAGGAACACTGGAATGTAGTTTCGACAATATTTGTCAAACATACCTCTGCCGCCAGATTTACGACACAATCCACCCTCACCATTTTCTTCTTTCAATGGTCCGTGGCAGTAGCAGCTCCACCCTTTAAATTAACCGATTCAACGATTGCCACGGGATGAATTTCCATACAGATACTCATCTATAAAGTACTCTATTAACATCATTTTCTTCCCTATATTAATTTAAACTAGAAATAGTCGCCCGCGTGATTCGCTGAGTATGGAGTTAATCCTTACTTCGTGGATTCGTTTCCACTGCGGACGTGAAAACCATCATCAGTGCATCGAATTTCGAGTAAAAAAAATAAAGGAATCCATTTAAACTACATATGTATATGATAGAGCAGGGCCATCTTACAAAAATTTGTGGATTTTTTTTTGTCTACTGCGTGTGCTGACTGTGTATCTAATATACATGTACTAGATCACAGAGTGTTTCAAGTGTTGTCGAAGAACTTGTAAAACAGAT